TTCAGCAGGTCAGAGTTTGTTTTCAAAATAGCTTAGGGAACAGTTCAAGCTTGGGTTATTAGGATTAAGGTTCTAATGTTATATTTAATGTGCAAATATAGACCATGCAAAAATACATGCTTGAAAAAAGACCCTTCTAATGTCATTTAGACAAAACCAAATTGCTCCGTTCCCTTCCTCAGCTCCTGCAGAAAGAGGGACATAGTCAAGTTTGAAGTGAAGGGAGACTCACATCCTCAGGACTTGTTTATTTTTCCACACAGATGATTGCACAGTCATTCAGTGGTTTCAAAAATGGAGCGTTGCATTAAATAAAAAAAAGGGAGTGTATACCTTTCAAGCATCTGGTAAAAATATGGACCAAGGAGATTCCAACTGTTTATGAGAACCTACCACACTCATACTCTGGGCAGCACTGGCTGCTGTCTCTGCGCAGACGAGGGACTTCACAGGGACCACACTGAACAGCTGGAGTAAGAAGAAAACATCCATAAAACAAGTTTGGATAAGAACTAGAAAACTAGGTAACAAAAACATGAATTCAAGTCCAATCATACTTAGAGCTAAACCAATTTACGTTTGGCAGTAGGGCAAGGTCGGACTGTGCAGTTTACTTTCTTGCTATCAAGACACATGCAGATCTTGCAAGGCTCATTGGTGGGAATCCATGTTTCCATGTGCTGCATGAAAAAAAAAAAAAAAAAAAAGATTGTTAGATAGAAATCAAATATTCTGGTCGCTGGTATGGGAGTGGGTGAGGGTGAGTAACATTAATTTGGAAAACCAGAAGACTGCAGGATTGGTTAGTTGCTCTGTTAACATTAAGAACCTAAGGATAATTAGCTTCACATCATTCTGAAATTACTGCAGTGTACCAATTTAGCAAAAGACGTAAAGAATGCATGAATGGGATGAGGAATTACTGTTGTTTCAAGCATGAAAAATGCTCAGATGTTATAAATGCAATCGCAGGCTATTGTGAGTAACAGTGGACTCGTGCAACTACGTACCATGATTGGAAGTTCAGTGGTAATAGGGGAAACAATAACATTTTGGGAAATACATAGACATGGCTGCTTTCCCAGATTAGTAGTTCTTAAACACAGAGAAATAAACAGCGTATATTTTCTATTAAGAACATGTGGAGTGTCATCACTTGATTTCCTGATTTCCCAGTGGACTGAAGACTGGAAAAGTATTACAGCAGCCCCAAATCTGAAATCATCACTGTGGCGATTACCTGGAGGTAATAAGCACATTCCAAAACTGCCCGTAAAGTGTATCATTATTCAACCACTGCTCCTTCTCACGAGAGAGAAGGAAATAACTGATGTTAAAGAGGTAAATACCTATAAAGAACTATCCACATTAAACAGTCATGTGAATAGGGAGGTAAGAGTCAAAAGATGCACTATGGGACAATAATTTGCATAATCAATCCAGGTTCTGGGTGACAACATGTAGGATGCCACAAAGGGAAAAATGCCATCCAGAAAACTCTGTAGTGCAGTTTTAAAATAACAGTCTGCTGAGACCTCTAGTAATAAGAAGAAAGGAAAGAAATATCTAAGCATACTGTCACCCACACCCAGGGATATCTATGTATTTTAAGCCATCACAGGAGTCTGAAAAGACAGTTTACTTTCAAAGGTTAACAGCATGGCAAGGATCAGATGACACCAGGCATGCTACAACAAGCCAACCAGAGGTTTAACAAAGCTTAGGAACCAAACTGCACAGGGTCGGTTAATTCATAGGAAATCCATTTTAATAAAAAAAAAACTTGCATCAATGTACAGCTAGTAAAGAATATTATATCAGGGCATGGAAAAAACAACTCAGAACCCTCTGCCAGAGCAGTCAATGGCCTCAGGGTTAAAAATTCCCGAGAAGGCAACTGACAGAGAATGCCTACATTTGCAGGTGGTGATGTGAAAAGCATGTGGACCTTTCAAGACACAGAGAATGAGAATCACAACATTTGCTCTAACATTTTGAGCAGACTTGATTCTTACAGAGGTTTTCTTCAGCATACGTAGGAGTTTCTTTCTAATACCAGAAGAAACAACAAGAGGTAGTATGGTGTTAGCAGAGCTCTATACGGGCATTGGTACCAAGAATCCCATAAGCCCAAAGCACAATCTGGGCTAGAAAGGAACAGAGGAACAAACACCAGAGGGAAAGAAGGGGGTTAAGGAAATCATAACCCAGCACCAGTTGCACTGCCTGTTGTATTGCTCACACAGCTAATCCTGCAATGGTGGAGATGCAGAACGGCTGTGTGAGCTGATCCTCCTCTGCCCTCCACCCATCCATACACACAGCAGCTGCGTCTAAGCCTTGCCATTGGGGTACAGACGAGAGGTTTTCAGAGTTAAAAACCCCATTAAGGGGCATATGACCACTCATGAATTTCAGAAGTTCTGCAGAAACAAGTAGATATCACTGAAAACATTATTCACAAGACGTGTGCTGATCTTTTCTCCACAAGGGCTTGAAACAATTATTTAATGGAAAATGCACTGCATTGCCTAAGGATTCAGGGATTTAAGGCACATAGATTCTAGACTTTAATCTGCGTTTGCAATAACCATTTCATACAGAATCATAATACAATGACTAGAGTTGTCAGGGTTGATGAGAGTTGTGCACAATTGATCTGTGTTTAGGGCAGGGATTATATACATTGCAAGCTATTTTTTTTTCCCTCAAGAGATATAATAAGGTTTGTTTCTATTCCTTTTATTACAAAAATTACTGAAGGTTTTATTTTTCCCTTCCATTTTACCAACGCTGTAAGTACTACACAAATACTATATTTAAAACAAAGCTCCAAAACGGAACAAAAATAAAAAATTGTAGCCATACATATGGAGATACTGTAACCTTAACATAAAAGCTAGTGCAAGGTCTATGGACTCAATCCTTCAGAAAATGTTAACCTTTCATTTTGAAAAATTTCATTTGGATAATGCAGTTGTGTAATGAAAGAACACACTTTCCCTCCATCTTGCCTCTTGCTGCCAAAATCCATAGGGTACGTACGCCTGAGGGTACACCATGGGGTATGTATGCCTGAGGCTTAGTGCTGTTAGGCTCCTGTACCAGCCCCTTGCCCAGCAGTAGGAAACCCTCAAGACTGTATCTAGTGAATATTTTTTCAGTGCATTGTGCTTTGACAGGAGCAGCAGGCAGCACTAAGGCACAAGCCATGACAAGGCAGGATCCTCGGACCTGCATAGACCTGTCCTACATGAGGGCAGGCTGCACTGACACAGGCTGCACGGACACAGGTAGGACTCCTGGTGCAGACCTGCAACCAGTACAGCTCTTGCACTGCCTGGAACAGTTGCTTCACTAAGTCAAGTGCATTGCTTGATAGTACTCCACCACTTAAAGAAAGGTGTTTGCTCTGTTAAGTTTGATGCTTTTGTCATTACGTTAACCAATGCAAACAATATTTAAAGGAGATGTTTTAGCCACAGTCTTTTCTTCCTTTCAGTTTAACTGAACTAAATGTGGGTCTAAATTTGTGTGTGTAAAAATAAGTTATTCAGAGTACATACATTACTTTACTTTTTAAAGTTTACCTTTTTACTTAAAGAATAGACTGTCCACACACACACAGTGACTTCTGTTATTTATACAAAAACTATGTTACAAAAACAATTATGTCTTTGACAGCAGGTTTGGTGAATATGATAAGACATCCAAGAATGTCATTAAGAACCTAAAGCCCATAAAGCACTGAAATTAAAGCCCCTTCTTCTTAAAATCCATAACAAAACTGCAGATTTAAGAGGACTATCTGACTTAGGTGAAAATTCCCAGAGTTGAGTAGATGAGGGTGAAGAGGAACAACTCCTGTTAGTTGGAACAGGGGGGATAGGGAGGAGCTTGCATACCCACTTGTGTGATGATGAAAGGGTAACTGACAGTGTCTTTCACTGCAGTCTGGTACCCAGCACCTGCTCTTCCCACTCCCATTCTGCCATGGAGAGGTCTGACTTAGATGAGGAAAGTGGATTTTCAGTAAAACTAGAATTATTATTTTCATCAAAGGAATTCTTCTCATAAAAAAATAAAAAATAAAAAAAGGAGGTAGGCTAATACAACTTGACATAAGGTAATCTTGGTCTCACTAATCCACACCAATCACTGAAAATATTTCAGTAAGCTTTGCAAAGACAATATGACATATTTTAAGCAAGGGTTCCAGATTTATGATTAAATTGTGATTACTGGTAAAAGTCTGCTGAATGGAGGTGTTTATCTTGGTAAATGTTGACTTATGCCATCCTTCCTCTCTTCCCTCTAGATCTCCCTCTACACAAATTTGTCATGCATTTCCGGGTCTGCACAGTCCCAGCTGTGAATTTTATATCCATCCCAGCCAATTTCACACTAGGGGAGCTACATAGGGCTGACAGCCGGCCAGTTATGAGGAACTGAACTATAAAATAAAGTATGTAAAAGGGAAGATAGTTAGACGTGTAACAGAGATTTACTTGCAAAAGTGTGAACCCCAACCACTTACAAAGGTAAGCTGCTAAGTATATAGTTACCTGATGGTGCATGCCATCTTCACTGACGCATTGTGTGCAGACTTCTTCATCAACACAGCTGTCATTAAAAATCACCTGTCCTTCTGGACAGAAGCAGCCTTCTGTGGGATAATCCTTGCAGACACTGAGTTTGGTACTATTTTCACAGTGCTTTATGCAGGCTTTGTGGCAATGATCGTATGTCAAATACGTGGGACATTTCATTGCTGAGGAAGGCAGAAAAAAAAACAAACTTTAGATAAAGAGATCTGAAATGCAGTGAAATGTTTCCATTCACACTTTCTTTAGGCTTCTGTTCAGGTTTTGAAAGCCATGAACATGGCTTTTGAAAGCCATGATGAACAACATATTTTGTCGTCTGCAGCCACTAGCATCTTTGAAAATACATTTTTAAAACTAACAAAATCCACAGTGGAAAGTGATTGAAGGCATTTGCTTAAGTTAGAGTCCATGCAGAAATCATCAAGCCACACTTTGAGGTCACACAAATCAGCAAAGTATGACATAACCTAATAATGACACAATGGCTTACATGAGTTGAATATCTGGCTTAGTTTTGTTTTCAACACTGGATGAGAGACATAAGAATTCAGAACCACCTTTACATGTATTAGAGAAGCACTGATAAGAGCACATGGTTAGGAGATGTCCAGGACAGACTAAAAGCATTGAACAAAGACTTTTGACAGCTTGATAGGCAATGGTGTTCCCAAGCAACTAAAGCAAGCTAGAAAACAGGACATTTTGGTACTCCAAAACTGAACCTGCTGGATTTCTGCACCTTATTAACCAAATTGCCTTATTAACAGAATTAACTGAATCAAGGAAAGTTGCATTCCCCACTAAGCCAACACTTAAATTTTTTACCGATGAGTTCACAACACTGAGGGTATTGTCTCTAAAACCAAACATAAAATGAAGGCTACAGCTATTCAAGAAACCTATGGACACAGTTTCCATACTGTGTACTCCCTTAAGTCTACTTTTTTTCTCTAAAGTTTCAATTAGGAAAAGTGTTTCTTATTTCCCAGTTTGTGACTGCTGTGAAGTTTACAAAACTTTTTCAGTCCCATGATAAAAAACACTTAATTAAAATTACTGAAGACATGAGCCCAACCAAGCACGCATTCATCAGCTGAACTGCCTACACACACCCCTCATAGCCAAAGGAAAGAGAAAAGAAATGCCTTTAACATTAACCTTTTTCTGTTTCAAGCCATGCTAAATCCAATTATTTCTGCTGCATTAGAGTCTATGATTGTATGTAAGGATAAACATCATAGTTCAGCAGATGCACAGGAGCTTTAAAAGTCACAGGAACTTGATGGAGAGTCCAATCTTGCTATGATATGCTTTATCTGGATTTTGAAAACACAAAAAGGTCTATCCAAGTTAAACAGGAGAAATTGCCTGCTTATAAACCTAGCTACCTAGACTATACTGTGGTTTCCAAAAGAACTCATTATGAAAAACAGTTCTGTAAACAAGGTGACTACAGTAAGCACCAGTGCTTGTCACCTGTGATGCTTCTCACGTCAGCTCTTATGAATGTGTGAAAACACATCCACAGCAACTGTTAAGGTGATGTGTCATTTACTTTTTTATTCCAGTGTCAGTAAATATACTCAGCACAATGGTTTTCATCTTGCTTACATACGACTAGCCCTAAAGCAAATTCAGTAGACCTTCTCTGCACAAAATTAGATTCATTTATTTTGGAGTTTAATGCCGATGCTCTTCAGTGTAGAACCTGGACAGCTCCCAACCAGAATCAGTACCAATGCTAAAGCCTCTAATATACTTGATGTTAACAAAGCTCCTTTTCTTTCCTCCTCTTTGGCTGGCATTAACGAGCCAAGTGTGTGAAAAATGCAATGAAGAACCATGCCCCGGACCCCAGATATGCTATCAAAAAGCCTGTGTGTCTGTGTAAAATGGCAATGTTTTTTTTTCAAGGAAGGAACAAATAAGGTGGTTATGTTCTGCAAAAGAAATACAAATAAGCTCACATGAATGCCATTGTTTTGAAGTCACCTCTGTCCTTGGGGGGCATGGGAACGAGACGTGCATAAGCGGTGTCAAGAGATGGGATAAACTCCATCAATGTCTGGAAAATCATCCTAACCATCCTGTCATCCTACCAGAACAAACACGATCAGGTGACCATAGAAAGCCACCTCAGACACACTACTGCCCTTGTGCTCCAGAGATATGGCCAGGTCCCACATGACCTACAGGAAACTTTGCTTTTTGTATGGAAACTTCTGCTAGAGTTATGGAATGGGAGAAGGCATGAAGGACTCCCCACAGTCAGCCTCAGAAACAAGTATTTCAACAAGCCACTCTCCTGGCTGGCTATTTCAATGCTCACCTCAAATGCCTGTTGTCTCTGAATGAAAATGAAAAGACTGTGGGTACAAAAAAAGGGGAAAATAAGGCTGAAAACCAAGTAATAGAAAAGTAATTTTTCTTCCAAATTAGTTTCAAAAGAAATCTATCTCATATACTAGCCTATATGACACTACTATGATCATATATTGATATTGTGTTCTCAGTTTGTTGGCTACATTAAAAATGACCTTTTCTTTCAAACTGGGAAAAGAATAGTAAAAGAAAAGCTGTGGGAAAACCCCAAGTTTCCTGTAAAGCTGTGAGAGCACATTTCAAAGGGTCAATCTGGCACATTTAAATATTGACATTTCTTCAGCTGCTTATTTTACCTTTAAATTACAGTAGCTATTCCTAGAAGATACTGGTTGGGAGAAAATAACCTCTGTGAGGATCTACAGAAAGTGCAAGTCCATCAACATAAAATAAATCACTTAACAAGGTCAAAGTGAAAGATCTAGAGTGATAGCTTCCACTAGGATTCACTTTGAATTTGTGGCTCAAACAGACCAGACATGACAGAGCATCTTTGGTTAAAGCACTAAATGGATATTTAGAGGAGGGGGTGTTTTTCAAGCCTGTGATACTTGGAGAAAGGCACACTTCCTTTCAGGTGACAATGCCACTCCTTTCTTATCAGTAGTACAATTTATCACAAATTTAGCAGGTAGCTAACTCCTGAGGTCACATACTTCTGGCTTGTCTTTTTTCCTCACTGTTATGTGCAGCCAAAAGGACAGCTATAAACCCCAGTGCCAAGGAAGCTGGAGTGAATAATGCATCAGGGCCAATAGTTAATCAGCTGCCCATCAACCGTCCCACACTGCTCAGGCACAGTTTTCTTAAACCTCCCTTATTGGGTCTTCTTCATCTGAAGGAATAGAAGGGGGTTTCCAGTGTTCTTGAGAGTGTTCTTCAAGGCCACAGTAAACCAGTTTAGACCAGTGCTGCCATCAAAAGGGGCAGTCCCCCCCTTAATCTCCTCACCTCAGCTGATGGTACTTTTTCACATTTGCCAGCACAGCAAAAAAAGTGGGAATGCATGGCTAGACATGGATAAGAAGAGAAAAACTGTCCCAGATCAGCTGAAGTCAGTCATAAAGCCAGCCCCATACTGTTGATTTCCAAGTCATGGTTTAAATCCTTCAGCTGTTACGGTCCTCACCAGCATGCCTTGCTTACACAGAAAATGAACAGCAGCGGATAATCTCAGTGTAACTCCACTACACAAATCCTTCATTAGCAGAGGTGGTTTAAAGGTTTCTTGTATCCCACTGCTTCTCTCTCCTCCTCCTGACCCTCATTTTTGCTCCTCTGCCAGATGTCACTGCCCCTCAGTTGAGCAAGCCCAGCCTGTTACGCCCTTGCTTTCTGACCTGGGCCTTCAAAACAACCCAATGAAAGACAAAACACAAACCCCTCCAACAACCAGAATGTTTCATGAAAAATCTTGTGTCCAAGCAAAATATATTTCCAGGAATCCCTTTAGATGCTGAGTTCCACCAGCATCCTCCTCAAAGAACTACAGCTTTCCTGAGCAGTACCAAGTAGCTGTTTGTTTCATACACTGTGCCAGCACCGACTACCTATCTAAATTTAATTCATCTGCAAGCTCGTGTTGGCAAGTACCTAGAGGGCATGTCCACATTGCACATAAATGAGCTTAAGGAGCTGCTGAGAAGCACTCATGGAAACATCACCATATGAAGATTAACAACTGCTTCTGCTGCTGCTGCTGTCATTTATCATCGGAGTATTTCTGCTTTCTGAGCAAAATCTTCTAACTGCTACTGTTACTTGAGCTACATATCTCAAAGCTGACTTGGTTGCCTTCACATGAGCTGCCTTTTCTTTTGTAACTGCAGAATGAATGTATCTTGGTCCATTCATTAATCGCAATGCTATTTCCAGGTGAATAAAGCTTCCTCTCCACACAAAGCTGAATCCCAACACATATCGGTATTAGTAATGTAATGATTTGTTAGACATCCCTATGATCTTCACACTAAGATAATGCCCGTACTGTCATTAAAGTGGAAACCCTATTCAGCAGGCATTCACTGTGGGGAAAAGCCTGCTCAAGAAGGTGCATATTCTACACCTCAGGGTTACATGGCTATCAGTGGAAGCTACTGGCTTCTGCAACTCAAGCCTACTAAGTGTGGGGTCAGGGGAGAAGTGAATTTAAAAAAAAAAAAAAGTCTTCCTTACTCCGCAGTCCCAGCTTGAAATGAAGTTTCCTTCCATCCATTGACACAAAGCTGGAAGTCTACCAGATACCACTTGTCAGACACATCCACCCTCCCAAAAAGGACCAAAGAAAGTTCATGCAGTGGAACAGAACAAGCACAGGATGGGGAACAGGCTCTGTCTTTATCAGATATTCCAGTGAGTGTATTTATCCATCCAGGCAGAATAGTCAGGAAGGACTCATAGTGCTCGAAATGTCCCAATGTGGCATGACAAAAATCCAAATCAAACTCTACAAAAATGACAGGGCTTCAGTGGAGTTGGGGGAGGGAAGCAAGGTGCTCCAGAATCATGCCACTGTTATTAAACATGTAGCGGAAGAGTGATCAAGCTGCACTGTCTCTTTAGCCACTAACATAACCTGTATAATGTCCCTGTAATTGGCAAATTTCTTTTTTTGGCAGTTGCACACATGCACCTGCCTGAAGGAAGAAGATGATGCTCTTGTTAGGACACTCATGACTGTTTTGTGCAACTAGTGTTAAAATGGGGAAATCTTTGTCTGTCTTTGTATGTGCTGTGTAACAAGATGGGAATCTGAAAACTGCAGAGAGTTATTAAGGTACTCCACTGACATTCAGCCTCGGACATTACAATTTGCAAAGTCTGACTGAAGCACTAAATTTCAAAAATAGCTGGCAGTATTCTCCCTCTGTTTTCTAGGAATATATTCCAAAGAGACTGTGTTGTTTCTTAAAAGATTCAGTCTGCAACAGTAACATGTACTTTAATATCCTGTTCTGGAAATATATTTGACAAACTAACTGGAGTCTCAAGCCAAATTCACATTCACATTCTTGACTTTCTATCCCATCATTCCCTCAGTCTGAGTTTAAAACACGAACAAAAACAAAACATGTACTGAGTTTTTGTGGTATCATGCCTTTAGGATGCTGATTCTCCACTTCTGAAATTAAAAGTATCTGGGCAGCAAGAGAAAGAGAGAAAGGCAACAGGAACTGACTAAACAGGAGAGGCAGAAGGTGCAAAAAATAACTGGGATCTCGAGGGGATATCACGAGGGGATAGCTGGGAAAGAGAACGCCCACATACATACACATCTCAGGTACTTGACTAAACCAGAAACACTGTGAGTGAACAGCTGAATGGCTGTAATCATCACCGCAGACAGACTAGCAGAAGATGTAGAAAAAAAACACCTCAAGAGTGACTTATTTGTACTTAATTATACATTGCATTTTTTGGCAGATCTTTAGGTATGCCTCATAATAGGGTTGTAAGGAGGAAAAATAAATAAATAATAATTAAAAAAAAAAACAGGAAGATAGGGCAGAAATTCCTATGTCTATAAGAATTTAGGGGAGTAGGTATACAAAGTGACAACCTGCTGAATTTAGCACTTTCTTTGCCTGCTGCTACTGGGCTCTGAGCGATTTGCAAGGCTCACGTCCTGCTATACTGCTTTCTCACAGCACAAACTCTTCACCTCTAAACCACAAGCAAAACACAGTCAGAACGAGAACCAGATTTACAAAGTAAATTACAGCTGGTATGATCAGTGTAGCTGGCATGTGCTGGCAAGAAAAGGCAGCACCAAGAGTGGCCATTTCCCCATTTGTCACTGCAGTAGAAACTTAAAAACATGCTAGCTAGTCTGAAAGGTTTAGGCCTTGTTTGGAATGTGGCAAATTTGCCAAACTATTGCAGAGAAGAGTCTTCTTTTGTGCCACTGGCAGCTATGACAGTGACAGGCTGGGAAGCAGCTCCACTAGTCCAAATCATGAGTTTCCCTGTCCGCATTGTACAGATCCTCCAATGGCTGTACCAAAGCAATGATATCTGCAGCTAAATCTGCCTCGCAGAATCAGAGCAGACTCTCAGTCCAAACCTGGCCCCACGATGGTTCAGTTGCTGCAGAGTCAGACACTGTCAGATAGCTGTGTTTGCCCGTGCACAGCTTTTGCAGTATTTTTATTTCATAGGTTATCCCTTCAGCCTTGTGTAACTACCCTGCATTTTACTAGTTAGCAGTTTACTAAGAAACACTTTTTCCATAATGTGCAACTTAGTGAGTGACCAACTGGTTATCAGATCTGTAATGCCACTTGTACAGGAACTTGACCTGGACCTTCTGCCCCATTACAGAGTATTCAAAAACTGACATTACATAGACAAGATGGTCATTGTCACCACCATTACCAAGTCATTCCTACATCAGTTTTAATGTATCGTAAACCCCTTACGACAAAACTCAGGTGTTCTCCAGTCTACGCAGACCTCGTTTTCCCTGCAGATGTGAGCGTAGGAAGTTATCATCTCACAGGCTTCGTCCTCATAGCAGCTGCTCTCTGCACAGGCCTCGTAGAACATGTTGGGGGAGATTACCCTGTGGCACTCCGCAAACTGATCAGAGAGCAGGAGGCGGCAGAGGCTCACGGCATGCTCAGAACATCTTTCTTCCCTCCGGGTTTCACAGATCTTCCCCGGCTCTTTCACTGTCCAGTCTTGGATAAACACACTGCTGTCAGGAGTGACAGAGCCATCATGTAACGTGAAGTCATTAACATGGTTCTGGTCGCAAACCCCTAGGATGGTAACAGGAAAAGAAAGAGTCTGAATACAGTCAGCGATAAAATAAACCTAGAGAAAACAGGCACGGGACAGACAGGGCCAATTGAGGCCGCTGGGTGAATG